AAAGTGTTTACCATAATTTTACTGTTGTTTATGTGTAATGCCATAATAAATGTATATTTAAAAACGGCTTCTTTTACACATTGTGGTGGGGTTGCCAGTTGGGCTTGTTTTCATAGCGCTGGTTGCTTGTTTCTATCGCGAGATCTGGCAACACTGATTGCAGCTCCTCAGACTGAAGAAGTCTTCTGGATAAAAGACGAAGCGTTTCCAAGAAGAATCCGTCCGTTAGATTTTGAAGTTTTGTCTTTGTTTTTTCTTTACATAGATGCCTATGAATAGTTTTTACCTATAAACAGTAAAGATGTTTTTGTCATTCAGATACATTTTTGTGTATAAGTAGATGTCTGTTAGACTACTTTTAAAAAGACAACCGTGAGACGTCCTCAGCTCTGAGAGGACACTTTGTACATTTATTTCCTATCTATATACCTTTAAGTTAAAATTCTCCATGATCTGTTATTTTCTTTGTATACACTAAGTGGCGTAATGAAGGTTGTTACTGTCACTAGCTGTCATTGTCTGTCTATAAACACTTGTAAGTCATAACCCCTAAATCTTGACCTCCCTAAATGGACTCCTGAGAGTTGTTACTATTCCTCGTGGATACTTTTGATTCGAACTTGTCCCTAAATAAGACAGTTACAATACCATACCATACCAATTTATTTATAAAGCACTTTAAACAGTGACAAAGCACACCAAAGTGCTGTACAGGGACAAACAGAACAAGCACACAGCAACAGATTACATAAAAGGACACCAAAAAGTAGAAACCAACAAAAACGGTAATGGATAACAACAACAACTGCAACATGACCAACACAGTGTGATGCACACAGACTCAGCACAGATCACACAGTGCTGAAAGGCAGGGAATAAAAGTGTGTTTTTAAGCGAGATTTAAAAACTGTGAGGGAGGGGGCCTGTCTAACGAGCAGAGGTAACTCATTCCAAAGTCTTGGGCCTGCTACCGAGAAGGCCCTGTCACCTCTGCACTGTCACGATGACGTCTTCCATCTTGTCGTTTTTGATTTTTTTTTTTCTTTCCCTTCAACCAGGAAGCTCTCCATACTTATAAATAGTTGCTGTCTCCGCGTTGATGGCTCCACTTTATATACTGTGTCTTATAAGAACAGCTCTTGCGTAGACGGAGTGGATCCCTGTTTATTTTGATGAGGACACGGAATTATTTAGACGGTACGAAGCAGCGACATCAGTACGTTTTCGTTACGGCAGTTGTTTTTCCCTTTACTTTAAAATCCCGACCTTTAAATAATATTTTTCGGTATCGGTTGCAGCTTTGACCTTTCAAGTCAAGCTGTTTAGATCTTCGATTTTCCACTGAAATGCAAGGTCAGTGAGGGTGGAACGGAAACTTTAACGACTACTTCTTGGTAACTTTTCAGCTTTACCATAGGAAAATGTTCGTCTTGATGCTATAGTTTAAACGGCTTCTTCTCTGGGCTATAATGGTGAGCTTCAAGTGAACTTATCAGAACAGATCTTAATTTCCTGATGGCATGCAGACCACACAGAAGCTGTTTCTGTATGACTATGTGTGATGACACGTCTAAGAATGAACACTCAGACATGATAAAAAAAAACCTTATTCCTTTTTTTTTTTTTATAGCAACAACGTTTTTACATTTAAAACCTGCATTTCAAATAAAAACATTTATTATAATAATACGTAACTATTTAATAAAAAAAAAAACTGTTACGAAACATTAAAAAAACTATCACATTTTCTTAAAGAGCAACTTGAACGACCTCTATTTCTGTTGTATGTTTTATTTGATTAAGAAAACACTATAAAATGGTGCAAGTGTAGGATTTTAATGGTTTAAGATGGGAAACTAACTGAACCACAGAAGGTAAATAAAAAAACTGGAATAACAGAAAATATTTCAAACGATATTTTAAAGTTAAATGAAGCTGAGCCGAGCTCTCACCTGAAACATCATCAACGCCGACGAACTCACTCTGCCTGTGTGTGTGTGAGCCTGCGTGTGTTTTTATGTTGTCAGGAAGTGGTCACATGTCCTTCCTCTCTTTGGTCGACTCTTCTTCCTCATGATGAAAACTATAAAGGTCGAGGTCGAAGAAGAGTTTAAACATAAGGCAAATATAGAAATATAGTCTAAAAACAAAATATGTTTGTTATGCTATATAGGAATGTCTGCCTATTATGTTCTGTTAATAATGTTGTTCAATTATTATTATTAGCTATGACACTAATATAAAAATGATATAAGCACTATTGTTTTATAGAAATATTTTGAACTTTTGGTTGGGTTTTGTTCCTGAAAATTTTAAATGTAAACATGTGGTTAACCCGCTTAACATTATATGATCAAATTTAAAAGAGACTTAAATATTGATCGCAGTTTTTGTGGTGACCTTCCAGAAACTGTGACACGTCTTTATTTTGGCGTTGCCGGTTCACACGCAGGTTTTGGAAGGAGTTTAGCAGGTTTATTAATAACCATATATTAAAGGATTTTTTCTTACGTTGGGAACATGTTTTAATTTGTTTTTCTAGATTCCGCAGAAAAGATACATTTTTTAAAATTTATATTATATAATAAACTTGCTAATTCTTTTGGCCAAATTTTACATTCATAAATGTAAATTTATTAACACAACGCCATGTTTTCTTCATCTTATGAAGGATGTGGAACTATATATTAAATCAGTAACAGACTCTACCAACAAAAAGGCCCTTAGGACATTTTCTTTATGTAAATCTTTGCAAATATTTGTTTCATTAACACCCCTGGTTGTTTGTTCGTGTAAGTGATGTGTTCTTCTGTATACTCCATTTGTTTGTTTGTTGTATACTTGTCATTTGCTTGAATAAAGATTAAAAAGAAACATGTGGTGATCTAAAACACTATAAGAACCTTATGTTTTCTTAATATAATTCAAGTTTAGTTAATTTGTTGATGATTCTTGATGTGCACTTTATACTTGGATTGATGAATATATTTAAGTCTCAATGTTCTTTTTTTATTTAAACCTTTGTTTTGCCAGGAAATGAATCCATTGAGATTATTAATCTTTTTTTTTTTTAACAAAAAAAAAAAAAGTTAAAAACAAAACTCTACTTTATTTGTAGCTGAAGACGTTTCGCTTCTCATCCGAGGAGCTTTCACAATTGAAACGTTTTCAGCTACAAATAAAGTCCAGTTGTTTTGTTTTTAACTTATTTTGGGATCTACCGTACATGTCCTGGACGACTGAGAATTTTCACCAGCGTTTTTACAAGGATGTCCTGGGAGATATGTGGTGTAGCCCAACCTTGTGGTTGGTTTTCTGTTCTTTTAATATATATAATTTTAAACAAGAAGAAGATAATAAAAATATTGAAAATGTGGTTGGAAAAAAAAATAAAAGGTAGTAAGCAGAACCTTTGTCAGAAGAGTTACAATTCAAGCCCGATCATATTTAAATTACGGACCGAAGTTTTAACCCCGTGTTGTCAAGTTAAAAAAGATTAACTAAAGTTTTTTTTTAAGTTTTATTTCACAATAAAACCAGAAAAATCTTTGACATGGTTACAACCAGTCATTAAATATTTGAAAAAATGGACCAAAATCCTTGTTAAAATTGACATAATTATATATAAAAAATACATATAAAACTAACATATTTACATATAAAAATACATATAAAACTAACATAACTACATATAAAAAATACAAATAAAACTAACATAATTACATATAAAAATACATATAAAACTAACATAACTACATATAAAAATACATATAAA